TAGAAAGTGCAGGGAAAACAAATAACAAATGTGGAGAAAAACTCTTTTAATTTTGATTATAGTAAAAATGATCTTAATCGTTTGAATTACAAGAGAGAGAAAGGTGCTTATATATTGAGCACAAAAAGGAAACATAAAGAAAAGTAGACTATGCCAGCTCACCTAATTAACCTACTAATATGTATTAACCCAACTAAACTAACCAATATGTCAACCTATTAACATATATGGGGGCTTGAGTGCGAATGCCACCAGCAAAAGGGAAACTTCGAGGAACTCGCCCCCATTTAATAAAGACACAATTTTTTCTCCTTTTTTTGAGGAAATTTTGTTTTCTCTCAACCTTCAAAATAGATAAGTGTTATTAACACTGCCTGGTTTCTTAAAATCACCACTCAATATCAAGCAATATTACAATATATGTGTGTGTGTGTTTGGGNGTAAATCCAATTTGTAGAGCAAAAATAAAAGTTATGGGCTTTTCACATTTCAAGAACATGCAGTATGTATATATATAACATCACAAAAGGGTATCATGGGGTTGGTGTGTGTTAGTATGCTTATGAGTTATTATTTTTTTTTTCCTCAATGTCTGTGATTGTGTGTAATTGTGGAGGAAATTGCCTTAGTTCGTGTAAAACTTTAATATTATGTTTGTGGTCACAAATTATTTAATACTATGATATATGTAAACATGTAATTAAGTATATGAAAATAACATTCCTTTAAAACTACAGTAAATTTGTATTATATTACTTGATAATTAATTTGTATCTTATGGAATTAAAGATAGTTATTTTTTTCATATTTCTCATTATTCCACATCCCTTACACACAAAGTAGTCTAAAGAAGTTTGCAACTCCTTTAATGACCTTTTTTTTTTTAACTATTATTAGCAACTGAAACCAATAACAAGATAATATACTGAGTTTGGGAAACTAATGCTATATCAATTAAGAAGTCTTGACCATTCCTTTTTCTTATAAAGGATATTTGTGCATCTGATCACTTCAAACCATAAATAATAATAATAATAATAATAATGGATGAACTAAAGCTACTAAAAAATGCGCGCGCGCCATCCCCACGCATCACCCATCGCTTGCGCTGCCCGATCGCGTGCCCCGTCTTGCACGTCCCTGCCACTTGAGCGGGTGTCGCGCACGCTCGAGCCTTCGCCATCATCTTCTCGCTTGCTCGATGTCTGGCGCGTCGTGCCCAGCCTATTCGCACGCGTGCCGCTCACGCCCGCCTGCCCAGCCCGTCGGTCGCGCTCGCCTAGCACCTTGCGCATGCTCTCCACTTATATATATTAATTTTTTATTAGTACTAAAGAGTTATCAATACTCATCACGATGATCTGAGGAGCTTCGACCTTTCAATAGCCTCAGGGAAGAAGATCGTGTGACCGCAGAGACCTGAGTTAAAATGGACCTAATCAGGATACAAAGGAATCTAATCAAGATAAGAAGAAATCTAACTAAGATAAGGATAATACAAAGAAGATAAAGATTAACATCGGGCAGCCGGGAAACTCCGAGTAGATTGACCAAGGGAAATTAGGTTGTTCGGGAAGCTAATCTTTTGTACCGAGGTAATCTCCCTATAAAAGAGAGTGAGGTATAACTGAAACACTATCTCTACACTTTCAGAATTCTCTAGATAATTTTGTTATGTTCTTCCCCTTTCCATTCACTGGCTTGAGTGTCGGAGTGCTCACACTGGGAGCTCCTTTCAACCCTTGTTTTGAAGGTAATTAGTTGTTTTCACACGATCGGAGCTTTGCAGTAGCTGGTTCAACCCAAAATCAGGTTTCGACATATTATTTGGCGTTGTATGTGTTGGGATTGGTGAGGATCTCGTTATGCACAAGTCACAAATTCAATAACAACAATAAACATATGCGCAACGAATCTAGAGGTTTAGAGTTGACTCTGACGGCTTAAAATTCGCAGACTCTGACGTTGTAGATTACCATTGAAGGAAATTGTCTTATCTCAAAATCCGTTGGGCAGCCGGATCCTTCTCGTCGGACCTCGAGAAGTTCACAAGAGCGGCCGGGAGCAGCACGTGCCTCGTCGCGGGGTCGAAGGTGTCGCGCGAGGTTGTCACGCGGTGGTGGCGGGGCTGCAATGTCGTCGGGCTTTGTGTGGGGTCGCCGGGCATCACGGGCTGCGGGGGTGGTCGGTCGGCCGACGGTCATGGGGGATCACTGATTAATGATCACGGGATTTCGGTACCTCGAGATCTTCTACTGTATATCTCAAACACCTCTTCGTATTGTACCGGTGGAACAACAACACGAAGATAAAGCTCGATTATGGGAACTAGAGAGAGGGGGCGGCCAAAACGATGCACACGTTAGGTTTGGGTGTGTTCTCAATCCCATGAGCTTAATGATGTATATATAGAGATACAATAGGGATCCTAAGGAGAACAAGATTAGAGCTTCTTAAGTATTGGGCCTAACTGTGAGCCAAGCCCACTCTTTCAATACTTAAATAATATTATGGTCCGCTAACCTAATATTATTGCACTCTCTTTTCCTATCCCAAAGTATATTTGAGACTCTAATCATAATTAATTGATTTATCTCCCCACGTTTAAGATATAATGTCCATTAATTAATTCGATTACTGATAATCAAGAATTAATTAATATATTATATTACCAAAGCTAGCGTCGTTCATTGCATTATTATTATGCTGGAACATAATTCACCTGCATGGTTTAGCATAACAACCTTCATGAACTCATTTCGGGAACATCATCAAACTATACATGGTGACCGTAAATAGTCTAACAGCACATCGTACATATAATAATATTACCCAAAACAACAAATATGTTGACTTAGTACAATGAATCTCACTTTCAGTGAATCAAAGTAATAGTTATCATATGTACATGCCTGTTTATATCTTACGGGTTAAGAGAACGCAATAATTAATCGAGACTTAAGTTTGTTTACGACGATCAGTATAAAACAAACTGTTACTCTCTAGAATCCTATTCAATACATAAATGTACTAGTGCAACTAATCAGTCAAGACCAACCGTACAGTGGACACTACAACCGTTCTGATGGTTTGTTCATTTCCATCTAGGTTGTGAACCAACAAATCTTGTTTTGCAAGTAACTGACATAATGATCTTCTGTTCACCCGATGATGACCCATTCTTCTAAGTGCAAAACAACAGAACAAAGAACTTATTTAATCAAACATAATTCTCATTCAACAAAGATCAAGTGTAATATAATCCAAAGCCAAGCTTTCAGTATATAACACCAACAATCTCCAACTTATACTTAAAGCTTCCGCTTTTTACAAGTATAGTCCTATCAATCCGTTATTTTCAAAGACCTATGTCGATCCTATGCCCATACATCTGACTCCCATTCCTTCTACGTGTTTGACGAAGACCTTCCCCGACAAACTCTTCGTGAAAGGATCAGGTAGGTTGTTCTCTGATGCAATCTTGGCAACCTCGACGTCCCCTCTTCCTACGATATCTCATATCATGTGGTACTTGCGCTCTATGTGATTGCTTGCTCTATGGGCTCATGATTCCCTTGAGTTTGCTACTGCTACACTGTTATCACAGTACACGGTGATACTACATGGCAAACTCGGAATCACTTCTAAAGTCCACTAAGAAGTTCTGAGCCAAACTGCCTCTTTCGCTGCCTTAGAGGCTGCGATGTACTCGACTTCCATAGTGGAGTCTGCTACGCATTTCTGCTTAGCATTCCTCCATGAAATGGCTCCACCTCCCAAGGTAAACACATAACCTGAGGTTGACTTACTCTCGTCCCTGTCTGACTGAAAATCAGAATCACTGTAACCTAACGGTAACAAGCTGTCTGCACAGTAAATTAACATGTACTCTTTAGTCCTTCGCAGTTACTTGAGTATATGCTTCGCCACAGGCCAATGTTCCCGTCCTAGGTTACTTTGATATCTAGCTACCATGCCCACGGCGTAGCTAATATCCGACCTCCTACACAACATAGCATACATGAAACTTTCTACTGCTGAGGCATAATGAACTGTCTTTATGTCCTCTATCTCTTGAGGTGTTTTAGGAGACATCTCATTGGATAGAGCTATTCCGATCCATGTCTGAAAGGTAACAATACCTTTCTTGGAATTATGCATGCTGAATCTGACAAGACAGTATCTATGTATGAAAACTAGGATAAACACAACATTCTCTTCTTACAGTCCCAAATTACCCTAATACCAAGAATGTGTCCTGCTTCACACAAATCCTTCATATCAAACTGTTTAGACAACCACACCTTTACGTCCGATATCTCCTTCTTACCGTTTCCAATGAAAAGTATGTTGTCCACGTAAAGCACAAGAAACACCACCACGCTCCCAATGTGCTTCTTGTACACACAGTGCTCATCCGGACATTGAGTGAACCCGTACGACTGGATCACCTCATCGAACCGGCTTTTCCAAGATCTTGAAGCTTGCTTCAGTCCATAAATTGACCGATTAAGCTTACACACTAGATGCTCATGTCCCTTATCGATGAAACCCTTTGTTTGTTGCATATAGATGTCCTCCTAAAGGTTTCCGTTAAGGAAAACCGTCTTGACATCCATCTGCCAGACCTCATAATCCATATGAGCGGCTACAGCCAAAAGAATCCGAATGGATTTGAGCATGGCTACTGGCGACAAAGGTTTCATCATAATCGATTCCTCTTTTTGAGTATACTCTTTCGCAACAAGTCTAGCCTTGACAGTCTCAACCTTCCCATCAGATCCTCTCTTTCTCTTGTATACCCACTTCACCCACCGGCAGCCTGGATCAACAGAGCCGACACCCTCCGCCCCATACCAGGAAAGACATAAAAGCAAGGCGAGAGGAGAGCTAACCTCCGGTTGTTGCCAGCCACACCGCCGGACGTTGGGACGACCTCAGGACCTACAAGGCAACCTGCGATTGAGGAGAGACCCTTGCTCGGCTGAGAAATCCACGACATGACAAGGAACCAGAAACGGCTGAAGGACGACCAGCACTGCGGCGGCGCAGAGCGCCTCGCTGGGAGGAGGCGGCCGGAGAAACGAAGGCTAGGGTTTTTCTTTGACAAATTAGGTAAAACAGGAGAGAAGACAGGGGCAGTGTATCATATTCGAATTACTACTTTTTTTTTCTCTTCATTTTGTGATAATTTAAAACACGGAACATTGAACGTAGACGTGCGAATGGGATAAATTCAGTCAGTGTATCATATTCGAATTACTACTTTTTTCCTCTTCATTTCGTGATAATTTAAAACACGGAACATTGAACGTAGACATGCGAATGGTATAAATTCACTCATTACTCCTCGTCATTCGTTATGTTCGTGTACTCCAAATATTGCAATTTCAGAAGATTTTCTATCAGATTCGAATTACTACTTTTTTCTCTTCCTTTTGTGATAATTTGTATGCGATTACACAGGCGTAAAACCTCACAATTGGAAAGTAAGCGAGATAATTTGTGGGCCTGTCATGGGAATTTTCTCTGACACTGAAAAAAATGGTTGTGGAACTCGCGAAAATTCTTCTGATTGTAGTTTGAGGAATCTTGTGAGGAGAAAACAGGTTGATTCTAAGCACACCAGATCATCCTCTTCCTCTGGAAATGTCCAACACCAGCTAGCCAAGGCTTTGACCGCACCTCATCTCATTGCAATAGGTAAAAAAAAAGTACATTTTCTTTTGATTCTATGTCTTTTCTTTAAAAAAAAAAATAAAAATTCCTTTTTAGTGCGTAATTTGAATGTCACTCATGCTCGTCAATGAAATTGCATTTTACTAAATAAATTATCGTGAATTTGAGAACCTTTTATATATAATATACTGAACTTTGGAAAAGTCCCTCATGCCTAACGACAAACATTTATCTAGTAGCCTGTATGAGCTGGCTTGACATGAGCTAACACAAACATTTGCTCGGTCGAGGGGCCAAAGTGCAGAGTATTGCATAGTTCAGCGGGAAGAATGTATATTTCCAATCGTTATTGATTCTGTTTCTTCATTGTTTGGTTGGTGTTATATTTGAAGTATTCCTGTTTTACTGAGTTTTAATTTCGTTCTATAGTACATTCATATGATTCCTTTTAGAGTTGAGTCATAATATAATAATTCGTTGGTTCTGTCTTTTTTGTTCAATTTGTGTGATGATAGGTCGGCCCGCCTAACCGTTAGATGCCTCACAACAGTATTTGTGTATATATAGTGCGATAGTGATTAATAACTTGTGATTTATTGATGTCCGAAGTCTTAGTGAAGTTAAATTATATCTAATTTATGGAGTTCTTTTGTCCTACAATTGTTTCAGTGGAATGTGGATATTGTTTGATCTTGTAGGAGTTGGTGCAACTATTGGTTCTGGGGTTTATATTCTGGTTGGTACAGTTGCTAGAGAGCATTCAGGGCCAGGTCTGACCCTTTCTTTTCTAATAGCTGGAATAGCAGCTGGCCTATCTGCATTTTGCTATGCTGAGCTAGCAAGTCGTTGCCCTTCGGCTGGGAGTGCATATCATTATTCTTACATTTGCATTGGAGAAGTGTAATACATATATCTAATCTCTCTCTCTCTCTATATATATATATATATATATATCATTATTATATATATATATATATATATATATATATATTGATTTTGTTTTTCAATAATAAGCATTGTATCTTCCTTAAGTAGCATGCTAGCATTATTTTTATGAATAGTATTTTTAACCTTCTTAGCCTCATAGCAAAACTGAGGTTGCATTTTGGTTTGGGGATTTTGGTTTTGAGGATAGGAATTGGTTTAAAGTTCCCCAAAGTGTTCAAATAGTAGCTCGTAATAAGAATCTAAGGATCTAAAATCAATTGTATCCAAACAAAACTCAGTGGATTTGTTAATATAGATTTAGCATACGTAATCAAAATGAAGTCGATGATTATATGGTATAATGCCCATAATCTGCTCAGATCAGGTTAGCCCTTGGTTATGCAGTTGTATTTTTATTATCTACCTGAAATGGGCATGACTTTTCTGTAAAGATGTCAATTGCATTCTGAAGAATTTTTCTATAAATATCTCACATGAACTGTGTGATGCAATTTTAATGAGTTATGGTTGGAGACAAAGTACTCAGCTAGATATTTGGGTTAACTACTGATGCAGATAGTAGATCTCACCAGTCCTGGTTCTTGATTTTTCTCAGTTTAATGGATGCAATATAAATAATTCCAGTGCTCTTTAGATTATTAGCTTTATTACTGTGTATACAGCTTTGCTTGGTTGATTGGTTGGGCATTGATGTTGGAATACACTATAGGAGCTTCGGCAGTTGCTCGTGGAATATCCCCAAATCTGGTGTGCTATGTCCTCCATTATATTTTGCTTTTTATCTGAGGTCTTTGTGGAAGTATTTTCTGATTCATTATATAGTTTCTTCATGTACAGAATAAAGAACAGTGTATCCCCTTTTAATGTTATATTGACTTCCAATATGAAGGTTTATGTTTTTCAGTAGGTTTCTTTCTATTGAATTAATGTTATCAGTGGATGCCTAATCATTCTGCAAGATTGTGAAAATTACCTCTCTTTCTATATCCCATTTGTTAGATAGTTAGTCATGACAATATTTACTGAAGTAGACCTCGATTTTTTTTTTTCATATTTTATTTATTTCAATTCTTAAAAAATTTCTTTACCAGGCCTTGCTTTTTGGAAGTCCAGATAGTCTCCCTTCTTTTCTTGCACGACAAACCATACCTGGGTTCAACATTGTGGTTGACCCATGTGCAGCCATCTTAGTTATTGTGGTCACTGGACTTTTGTGTCTAGGAATTAAGGAGGTATCTTTCTGCTATTCTCATTTTGTTGCAAAAAAAATATTTTTTGGCTTCCGAAATCTTTGTCTTCTATTTTACCTTTACAAATTTCAAGATTACTGCTACAGAGTGCGCTTGTTCAAGGAGTTGTTACCTCTGTCAATACATGTGCCTTAATCTTTATCATTGTGGTTGGCGGATACTTGGGTTTCAAGACTGGATGGTGTGGCTATGGACTTCCTACTGGGTAGTTGTATTTTTTGTCTTGCTTAGCACAGTTGTATTTCGGTCTGGTGGTCTTTTGCTTTCCTATTTGCTAATTGCCATTTTTCATGAGGACGAAGTTGCTTATGTATTCCATTTCTTTTTAAAGATATTTTCCTTTTGGAGCTCAAGGGATGCTTGCTGGTGCTTCTACTGTTTTTTTCGCGTACACAGGATTTGATTCAGTCACTAGTACAGCAGAAGAGGTATGTGCTAGATAATCTCATTCAAATTCTCCCTCTCTATATACACATATATATATTTATCTTATTCACTAAGATAGGTTAATCCTCAAGGGAGTGTTTGTAATGGAAAAAACTTTGCCAGACTGTTGAGATGAAGCCCAAATTTAGTTTTCCAGTTGTTAAGGTTCTTATTTCAACTTTTGTTCTATTATTTCAACTGTTGAGGTGAAGCCCGAATTTAGTTTTTTAGGTTCATACATTAGTTTTAGGATTCTATTTTGTGTCTTAGTTTTTTTTTTCCCTTTTTTNCTATTATTCGGTATTTCATTGGGATTATTTTGTGTTGAAGTTTTTGTTTTAGGGAACTGCTGATCATTGTGTGCCTCATTCGTGTTATCCTTAAACATAACGTGGTGAGTGGAAGCTTGATAAATGACGTTCTCTATTATCAGGTGAAAAACCCTGAAAAAGATCTGCCAATGGGTATTGGGATTGCACTTTCTATATGCTGCACGCTGTACATGTTGGTTTCTGCAGTTATAGTCGGCTTGGTTCCGTATTATTCAATGGATCCAGACACTCCCATCTCTTCTGCCTTTTCCAGTCATGGCATTAGATGGGCAGCGTAAGCAAATATTTATATCTATGAATTTTTTTACGAGTTAATGTCCGAGTTTGTGCATTTTGTTTCTGTGGCTTTTTTCTACATCGCTCAAATTTGCATTCATATAGGTATGTGATAACTATTGGATCTTGTACTGCTCTTTGTTCATCGTTGATGGGGTCTCTCCTTCCCCAGGTAACTGAAATTAATTAACACCTCTATAATTTTTCCTTTTGCTTCGCTGGTACTAAATTCTGTCAGCTTTAATTGTTCTGCGATGTTTATATCTACCATCAACCGTCAGATAATTATGAAGAACCAATACATTAGGTTTTATCATGATTTTTATATAAATGATCATATTTAACTGTGATTTTGCTATCGATGCGAGTTTAGCTTAGATAGGATAAGAATGTTGTCACGAGGAAACTTTAGTTTAGACAGGATAAGAAATAAATCAGAGTTATAGATTCGGGGGAAGAAGTGTGGTCTCATGGTGGTGAGCCTAGGTGTCACTTAAGTGAGGTTTCATGGTGATGAGAGTAGTCCACTGATGTGGGACAACTCACAAGTGATATTCCTACACGTCTCGTCACTTGTGAGTCATTCTCTAACTTATACTCGGTTAACAGAGTCATTCACCACAAATTCTAGATCTGCTCTGGTAGCATGTTAGAATTATGGATTCTGGGGAAGGGATGCACTCCCATGGTGGTGGAACGCACCATTAAAGGTGAACCTAGGTGCCAATTGAAGTCTATCCCAAAGGTGATTGGACGAGTCACCCAATGAACTTATAAACTAGACTCATTTACCCCATAGAATCACATAATCAATGTGAGACAACTGACAAGTGATATTTGGTAACAATACTATATAGGATCAACCCACTAAAGGCCCTAACGCGATATATATATGGGCATCTTCATATGTGAAAGCATTCATTCCTTCAAAACTCTAAGGTTTGTAACATGGCATAAGAGCAAACCAACTAGGGTTAATTTTTTTTAAATTTTTTCTTTTCACATTCGGATCTCACCTCCCACACCAATAGCCTCGCTGCCCCAGGATCGGTTGTTCGGTCATTTTTCATTGCCGGAGTTTGCGTGTGTGGGTCCCACGCGCCGGTCGGACAGCATGCAGCCTTCCTCACGCGCTGGCGCGTGCAGGCACATGATTTGCTGGATTTTTTTACTGGTGAACGACCTTCGTCTCAGAATCTTCTTGGCAGTATTGTTAGTTTTATGTCTTGGGAAGTTTTGGTGTTCCATTTTGCATTTTTAGGTCCGACATAATTTTGGGTTAGGGTTTCTTTCCCTCGTCTATTGTTCTTTCATTGTTTACCTGTCATGTGGTCTTTGCTGCGTCTACCATCGTCTATTGGGCACGCTCATCACTATTCTCTTAATACGTTGTCGTATGTTTATCGCTAAGGCATAACTGTTGTCATACATCACTGAATCATGTCGCAACTCAATGCAAGTGCCATCAATAGCACTCTTGATGGTCAAAATTATCAGGAGTGGGCAAGAGTGGGCTTTTTCTGTGGAAACCGTATTGAGGGGGTTATTGTATAGCTTTCCACTTGATTGATGATGGACCCGAACGAAAGGCTGATAATAGTAATGCTGCTGCATTAGGATATGATAGATTAATGATGGGAAGGTGATGGCTGCTATTTCTTCTTTTCGAACAACTAAGGAAATATGGTCCTATTTGGAATAACGTCACGTTCAGGTGCACTCTTACGCACGCACATAAGCAAATTCATTTGATTGAACAAAACGACATGTCCATTGATGAATACTATTTGGCTTTTGCTGGTTTGATGGGACCATTGATCTCAATGGTACCTCAATGATCGGCAGGGAGTGTTCAAAACTTAAGTTTCTTTATTTATCGCTTCGCATGGGAGTCCGAGGAGAATTTGAGTCCATTTATACACGGTTGCTTCATAACTCTTCTACTCTATGGTGGTCACAGGCATTATTAGATTTGATTACTAAAGAGACTCGTCTCCATTCTATGACAGTTGCTCCTCCGTTGGTGTCGCACAGTGTACTGGCAGCTCCTCAAAGGACATCTTATCAATGACTTAGTGCAACTAGAGATGACTCTCGAGAACCTTGTAAGCAATGCGGGAAGACGGTCATATTGCCAGTGGCAAAGCCATGGCGTGAGTCATGGCGACGCCTGGCCTCCTCGAGTAGCTGAGGCGAGGAGGGCTTGCGAAAGGCGATGCCATGGCGAGCGCCTCGAGTGTGGCGACCAAAGGCAAGGCGCTCACTACAAAAAAAAAAAAGGAGGCGAGTAGGAGCATTTTTGACATATTAGGGTTACAAGTTTTACTATTCAGTTCGAATTTTCCTTATTTGGTCCAACAAAGCCCTAAATTAGGTTGTGGCTTTTTATTACTTGACTAAGGCAACCGGATTCCGACGGTTCTCCGGCGATCGGTGGTGGAGAGATAAAGTTTCATTTTCCTTTGTTTTCTTCTCGGCTTTTTTCACTTCTCTCTGTATAATTTTTCCCCTTCTATTTTCTGTATTTCAGGTTGCTTCTGTTTCCTTTTTTTTTCCTTTATATCCACAAGAAACAGAAAAATGGCTTCATCAAACCATTTTTTTTCACAAACACTCGATGAAGTCTGGAATAATAATTCGATAAGCTCAGTCACCCTTCAATCAGTCTTTGATCACATATATATATATACAAACTCCTCAGTGGTCTTCTCATTCTAATGCATTGACTCCTTTCCATGTGAGGTTGATTTCCATCCCAACGACTTCCTTCATATCTTGGACATGATCTTCCTTCATTTAAGTAAGTTTCCTTCAAGTAGAATTCTTGTATGTGATTTGGATAGCTTTAGAATTTCGATTCCAAAGTGGTGTTGGAACACGGCTTTCCTAAAAATGCCGATAAGTAACATATTTGGTAAGTAGATATATGTAAGATATATATTATGTAATCCTTTTAAAAGAGGATTAGGACACCATAATACGTATTATCATAAATATATACCATATAATATAATATCAATAATAAATACAAGGAACTTAACTAATTCACAAGTAAATAAATAGAAAATTTCCCTTTAATTTATTTTGCTTAACTATCAAGAAAATCTTTTAGAAAACGTTTGTTCGGACAATACCAAACCAATATTCTTACATAATAGAAAATGGAAAAGTATGCAATTCCAAGACTTTGATATTTAGAATGATGGTGTAGAATACGTATATATTTTGTTGATCTTCGAGCATTTGATAGAAGTATTAGGGATTGCAGAAACTCGCATAAATAATCATCTTGGTTTGACCAATCCCTTCTGTGTGGATTCTTGAAGTATGATTCTAATATTCTCTAGAACTTTATTATTTTGAAAAAACTATCTCTTGCTCCATAATTTTATACACCCTCCCTCTTCTAGCGAAGTTACTAGTTTGCTTGAAGATCATTCCAATTCTTGAAAGTATTGGCTTTCATAATGCTAGGGAAATTACTAAATGAGTAAATTATCAAATAAAACAAGTATAAACGAGTAAGTTATAACAAGGGTTGTTTATATAGTTGTTTAATGTCAAAAATCAAGTGATTTTCCAAATACTTTAAAAAGAGGGGTAGATTTGGAAAACTTATCATTGTTTTTGATGTGCATGGAAGCGTGTAGCAGAAATACCCAGTCTGAGATTCATTGTAGGATTACATTAGACCAATGTTTTGTAAAGCCTTTTGTCCTTTTGAGGTTTTTTCATTTTTGAACCAACCCGTTAACTGCTTTGTTCAGTTCATGCTGACAGAAAAGTTCTATTTGTGTGTTTGCAGTCAATTTATTTTTTGTAAGAGATACTTAGTTTGTTTATTGTTCTACAATACTGGCCTTGTGCATCCGTCATTAGAGAATTAATTAAGATTTTTGTGTGCACCATGTGAATCAATGTTGCGAGGAGCATGGGCCTAATGAAAGTAGGATAAGTTTTTGAATGTGTGGGTTCATTTCCAAATAAATTTTCAATTACATTTATTTAATTATTTATGTTCTGTATAACAGTCTCGAATTCAAATGGCAATGGCTAGAGACGGCTTGCTGCCATCATTATTTTCAGATGTCAATAAAAGCACTCAAGTTCCAGTAAAAAGCACAGTTGTGACCGGACTGGTAGCCACAATATTAGCATTCTTCATGGACGTGGAACAATTGTCAGGAATGGTATGCTACATCTGCTGGTCTTTCTCACTTATTGATTCAACTTTAATGCACAATTATTTTGGAAATTAGAGATGTAGAATAAACTTTCATCTTATTATTATTTTTTTTCAAGTGATGCAACATTTTGGGTACATATATGTGGAGAAGTGCATTTACCTTTTACTGTTGACGGTGTTGTAAATGACATCTTTGCATGAAAAACCAAAACATTCTTAAGTTTTAGCTATTGAATAAAAACTGGTTGCTTATATTCTTTAGAAATTTCTTCTGCAAGTCCTTGATATAATTGCAGGTTAGTTTGGGGACACTTGTTGCATACACAGTGGTGGCAATATCGGTGTTGATACTGAGATATGTTCCACCGAATAAAGTTCCGGTTCCATCTTCTTTTCAGGAAGCAATAAACTCAGTTTCCTTGAGGCATGCTGGCAGCTATAGCTGTGAAGATATTCTTAATGAGAATACAAAAGTCTATGCTATAACCACAGAGAAAAGTCCACTTCTGGTCCGGAGAGAAGCAACCGTGAAATATCGTTTGATAAATGGCGCGTACGATTGTAAGTTTTGTCTGGTTTAGATAACAATTAACGTGTGATGGTTTATGTTAAAATCCAATGTTTACTAACAATCAAGTGACAAAAATATGCGTCATTATTAACAAAACTGAGTGGGGCAAATAAAGAAATAATTGCAAATATTAACCCAGAAGGTAATCTGAGTTGAAAATAATTGCAAATAATTGCAAATATAAATGGCGCGTACGATTGTAAGTTTTGTCTTTAAGAATTGCAGATAACCATGTGAGGTTTATATTTGATTACAAAATGTAGCCTTGAAGAGGGGTAGAAATGAGTATTTGTAAGGTAAATATAAACTTCAGTGGGACAACATTAATCTGTCCAAAAGTAAGTGTTTCATTCGTTCATTCATTCATTCATTCATTCGTTCGTTCCATCCATCCATCGTTCGTGCGTTCGCTCATTCATTCATTCATATTCATTCGTTCGTTTGTTCACACACACGCACCAAATAAAAGAAGGAAGAAATAAAAGGACAATTTAAAAAGTAGCGTTGTGAATAAACATGCCTGCGTGCCTATGTGAACACGTCATTATTAATCAGTTCATTCATTCATATTTTATTATGTGTAAGTTAGATATCACTAAATAAAAGTTTTTTGTTGCACATAATCACACACACACACACACACACACACACACACACAGAAAAAAAAAAGAATGAAGAAAGAAAAGGACAATTTAAGAAGTGGTAATGTTGTTAATAAACATGTGAGACATATTAGTTTCATTGCCAATGTCAATGTCCGTTTGCAACTTAATTTTGTGAGCAAGAACAAGAAACATATGAAAGTAAAAAAGTCTATACAGCTAATGTCATGTCCAAATAAGTTAACTCCATTGTTATTAATCTAGGTTCAAATCTTATTTTATGCATTGCAGTTTTCGTAAACAAAAAGAACAGGCGGAAAATTGCTGGCTGGGCAATAATGGTTACTTGTGTTGGGGTGATTGTCCTAACGTCTGCTACTTCAAGTTCGACCCTCTGTAGGTCTGTGGTACATGGATCAGTTCTTTGTCAAAGAATTTAATATATTAGAAACTCCCTTAAGATTCAGCTTACATATAAAGAATACCCAGTTATGTTTTATAAATACACAAGTCCTTGAAATTTGTTTGTCTTTTAGTAATTGCACCCTTCCTTTGTGTTATTTGTGTGCAAAACAAATCTCAAGGAAGTGTTTATAACCAATTTCTTACAAGAAGTACCTTGCACCAGCACTCTTCGGTACACACTTTGTGGATTTGGTATTGCTCTCCTCTTTTGTGGTTTGATATTGCTTACTTGTATAGAGCAAGACGATGCACGCCATGATTTCGGCCACAGAGGAGGTAACAAAAATGAGTTAC